CAACTGACTGAGCCACGCAGGTGCCCCCATAAATGCACATTTCTATAAAAAGGTTTGAAAATCAGGAGACTATAGATGCTGGAGAGGATGTGGAGAAACGGGAACCCTCTTGCACTGCTGGTGGGAATGCAAACTGGTGCAGCTACTCTGGAAAACAGTGTGGAGGTTCCTCAAAAAATTAAAAATAGAACTACCCTAGGACCCAGCAATAGCACTGCTAGGAATTTACCCAGGGAATACAGGAGTGCTGATGCACAGGGGCACATGTACCCCAATGTTTATAGCAGCGCTTTTAACAACAGCCAAATTATGGAAAGAGCCTAAGTGCCCATCAACTGATGAATGGTTAAATATGTGGTTTATATATACAATGGAATACTACTTGGCAACAATAAAGAATGAAATTGAGCCATGTGCAGCAATGTGGATGGAAATGGAGGGTATTATGCTAAGTGAAATAAGTCAGTCAGAGACAGATACCATATGTTTTCACTCATATGTCGACCTTGAGAAACTTAACAGAAGACTTCATAGGAGAGGGGAAGGGGGGATAAAAGTTATAAACAGCGAGGGAGGGAGACTCTTAAATACATAGAACAAACTGAGGGTTGATAGGGGGGTGGGGGAAAGGAGAAAGTGGGTGATGGGCACTGAGGAGGGCACTTGTTGGGATGAGCACTGGGTGTTGTATGGAAGCCAATGTGATAATAAAGTATATTAAAAATAAAAATAAATAAAAAGGTTTGAGCAACTATTAATTTTTTAATGTTTATTTTTGAGACAGAGGGAGAGAGAGTGTGTGAGCAGGGGAGGGACAGAGAGACAGGGAGACAGAATCCGAAGCAGGCTCCAGGCTCTGAGCTGCCAGTAGAAAGCCCTACATGGGGCTTGAACCCACCAACCATAAGATCATGACCTGAGCTGAAGTCAACACTCAACCGACTTCAGCCACCAGGGGTCACTGAGCAACAATTAATTTGATCAGGAAATTGATATGCTTTGCAGTTGAGTATACTTTTCAGTTGCTAGAAAAAAGTTTCCTGAAGTATCCAAGAGCTTGAGACAATGTTCAAATGCTTTTATTTATTTATTTGTTTGTTTATTTATTTATTTATTTATTTATTTATTTATTTATTTTGAGAGAGAGAGAGAGAGAGAGAGAGAGAGAGAGCGAGCAAGTACAAGTTGGGGAGCGGCAGAGGGAGAAGGAGGGAGAGAATCTTAAGCAGGCTCCATGCTCAATGCTGAGCAGGACGAGGGGCTTGATCTCATAACAGTGAGATCATGACCTGAGTCTAAATCGACAGTCAGACACTTAACCAACTGAGCCACCCAGGAACCCCTGTTCAACGGTCTTTAAAAGTAGGTATATACCTAAAACTAATATAACATGGTACATCAACTACACTTCAATTAAAACAAATAATAATTTTAACAAAGGGATGAAATACTCTTTGTAAAGACCCGATTCTCTTTAAAATAAATAAATAAATAAATAAAAAGGATAAAACTGTTAAAGAGAAAGAACATTCACATACTTTTCAAAAAAGGAATAATTTTCTTTCTAACTATAATTTTATTGACAAAATGCTGGATTTCCAGTTAATTAAGCTCATATACATAATCTCATTTCAGAAACTTATCTACAACCTTAATTACCTTCATCACTTTCCTTTGAGACTCAGATAACAAGGTCCTACACCTCTGACACAAGGCTGATGGCACCAGAGGAGAAATGACTTTCAGATATTCAATTCTATTTTTTCTACCTTCGTTAGGAATCAAAATGCTTCCAAGAGCCCCTCTTTATCTAAAATCTTCAATATTTTGGTCCACTACAGTTTCCTTTGCTTTAAAATTACAAAAAAAAAAAAAAAAAAAGTTTGTGTCTCTTAGCAGAGAGGAAGAAAAACTCCTACAACCTTTAGTCATTCCGGAATCCTCCTCTACCTCTTATTGCTCTCCTCCTCCTCCTCCTTTCAGAATGGTCTATAGTGTGTAAATGTCGAATGACTCAAATACCATTTAACCCTAAATCCAGTTTAGGTTCTAATTATCAACCCCCAATCCCCTCCAAATAGTGTGCTTATATGAATTGCCCACACAACTGTAGTATTTGTGACTGTGAAACTCCTCTTCCTTCCTGAAACTATTTCCCGTTTCCTGGAGACCAGGCTCCCCTAGTTCTCTTGACCTGGTACCATCCTACAGAGAATAAAGAAAAGTGTCTCTTGAAGAACATTCCTACATTACTTTGAACGACTGGTACTTTAAAAGACATTGTCTTTCTTCTCTTTTCTTCATAAATACTGTCTCCACATGACATCATGCTTACGTGTAGCTCACGTATATACTGACTGTTCTCAATTCTGAAGTAGTGATTGGTCTCCTGACATCCAGATTTATTTTTGACAGCTTACTGAACTACATCAATCTAGGTGCTCGCTGGAATTTCAAAATCAACATATCCAAAACTTGAGAACAGCACCTCCTGCTCAACAATCATAAAAAGATGGGGCGCCTGGGTGGCTCAGTTGGTTAAGCGTCGACTTCAGCTCAGGTCATGATCTCACAATTCATGAGTTAGAGCCCCACGTCTGGTTCTGTGTCGATAGCTCAGAGCCTAGAGCCTGCTTTGGATTCTGTGTCTCCCTCTCTCTCTCTGCCCCTTTCCCATTCACACTCTGTCTCTCTGTCTCTGTCTCTGTCTCTCTCTCTCTCAAAAATAAATAAACGTTAAGAAAAAGAATAAAAAGATAAACACATGAAATAAATAAAAGAAGAAAAATATCTCCTTGGCAATCAGTACTGTCATTCACTACATTTACAAAATCAGAAACCTGGTTATCATTCTTGACTTTTTACTCATACTCACAATTCCATGTTTTATAAAGTCTCCAAAACCCACAAACTCTTATTTTCTAACTCTTTACTCTGTCTCTCAAGGTTTATCTTCATGGCTCTGTTAAAGCCCTCTGTATCTTCACTGTC